ATGACTCGTCCTTCTGTCCTCTGCTGCTTTTATATACTTATTATTTTATTCTTCCTTGAATCTTTTTGTTGTCCTGACTTCCTGCCTTTGCTTTGTCTGTCAAAGCTCATTGTAAGCATCTGTTTTTATAGTGTAAATACACAATTTATTGGGAAGAACCCTGGTTATTCAACAGCTTTCATTCATCTTTACATCCACGTCTGTGGCGCCCTCTGGTGGAATAAAAAGCACACAGCACCTTCTGTTACGTTCACCTTTTATTTTCAGAGATGAAACAGGTGCGAGCTGTCAGAAAGCTGCACAGTTTGTATTCATTGATTCATCATGCGACGAGATCCCATGTGACAGTTATCGAAGATGAGGCTGTAGTCGGAGCCACCGGCCGCCACAAAGTCAGCTACCGTCTTCATGCCCTCGAATTCTGCAGTTTCAACGACCTGTAAAGATTAAAAACTAGTTTGATCCACTGAGTTTGAGCTGTAATGATATGAAATGTATTAAAGTGAAGTCAGAGTTTTACCCTCCACTGTGGACCCATGTGTTGAACGTCAACCACCACTGTGTCAGAGGAGATGCCGTAGTTTCCTCCTTTGTGAACGAGCCACTGAGCGCCATCAATCAGAGTCACCCTGACGGACACACAGAGTGAAGGTCACATCTCCTCCTCCTCCTCTTCAGTGTAAATAAGTGTCAGAGCTCCTCAAAACATGTGTGTGAAGTTTCTTGTTCTAAATCCACTCTGATCCTGTATTTGATCATGTCTATAAACCCCTCTATTTCAGCCTCACTGCAGAAGACAGAGTCTAGTGGACACTGGAGGAACTGCAGTTTTGGCACTTACACGTTGGCCTCTAAATGATAATTTATTAATGAAGAAATGAGGGACTCTGAATCTGAGGTGTCACCCATAGGTGTTCCTAGGTGATGTACCTGTGCAGACTCACCTGACTCCGGAGTGGCTTAATGGTCCAAATATAACAGAACTCCCATCCAGCGGCCTCTTCATCCTTTCTGCTTTGTACACCGGAGAGTTGTAGAGCCGAGTCAGGTCCGACCCTGACAAGTCGTAGTTATAGTTCGGGGTTCCACCTGTCGAAGAAGCAGATCTTACTTTTTTTATTTTGAGCTTCAGGTAATGATGATTTTCTGTTATTTATAACAAGATGAAGTCTGTTCATCTAACTCTGGGAAGCAGACAGACGGTACAGCGACATTACCTCACCAGGACAAGTTCATAAACCAACAGGCAAGAAAATTAAAGTCAAATAAGCTGTAAAACCTTAAAATAAAAAGAAACACAAATGAACATTCGACACTGAGCTGTAAGTTTGTGCAGGATGATGTTTGAGTGGTGAATGATTATAGCACCATCTTATGGACTGAAAATATTTTGTTTTACCATTCTAGTATAAAAATATTTTGCACAAGTAAAATAATCATTTCTACAACACATCGGCGACACATTGTTGACGTGCAGAATGCTGCTATTTTTTACTGTATCAAATGTTCCCCTATCTCAGTTATGACTGGAATCTACGGGCGATGAAACGTCCACATTGATGTAAGAAAACACTCTGAGGTGCACAGACTCACCACCCTTGGAGGCCTCCAAGCTGACAGCCAGCAGAGTCAGAGTGAGAGCACAGAGGAACATTTTGAAGGACAGCATGTTGGCTTTCAAAGGGTCAGACGCTCAGTGAGACTTTTAAAGGGTTTCGACTCCCCTCCCCATTTGGACACAGTTATTATTTACTTCTTCGTAACATTGGTTAATTAATAACATCTGGACAGGAAAAACCCAGATTGCATCACATCAGTGGACAGAGCAGGACTTTTAGTCAAATCAATATTGACATTAAAAACTTCCTTTTTAATGAAACAACACTTTGATACGAACAACAGAGAAGGAGACCAAAGACTGAATACATCATGATCTGAATCTCCCTGCACTTTTTGTGATGAAGCATCAGACATGGACAGCTACTTAAAGGGATACCTGCATTAATCTTTGTATCATTAGAAACCTGGTAGTATTTTTGAATGGTCGTGCATCCCGCCCTCATTTCCCCTGAGATGTGAAATCTTTGTATTTCTGAGTCTGTAAAGGAGCTTCCAGTGACGCAAAATGACAATTTTTGCGTCACTGGAAGCTGTTACGGTTAGCGGGGTGAAACTACAACGCTAGTTCCTCATATTTTCAACCACTGAAGCTACAGACCAATCACAGATCAGTGGGTGGGAACTCACTCCCAGAATCCAAACTTAACGTCCGCCGTATTGCTTGGAAGCTATGCTAACAGGCTCTATGGAGAAAGCTGATAATCGTCTCGCGGCTATATTCTCGTGGCTCTATTGCTATATTTGCCGAGACATAAGGCCTGCCTGTCGGCGGCGGTGAGGACGAGGAGTCCGGGCCGGCTCGAGCTGGGGCGGACTGGTAGTGTCGGTGCTCTCACTGTTTGTCTATGGACACAGACATAGAGTCTGTTTTCTGACAGGAATTTACAAGATCAATTCTGGAAGAAATCTCTGAATCATTTGTGTAAACGGTCTCATGTGTTGAAGTAAATATGTCTGTAAATGTTTTTATTACTATATTTCTACTCTATTTCCCTCTGGGATTAATAAAGTATTTCTGATTCTGAACCAGAGGACCTTAGTGGGAGTGGCCTGTGGTGCTGTGCATTCTGGGATTTGGTGTCTTTTATCCACATGAGCCAAAAAGACACTTTCTTCCTTTTCTCAGTCAAGAAGGCACCAACTTCAAAATGTATTTCACATTTCTACATATATGACCCAATGTCAGTAGAGATTCATGTTTCATGGTGAAGTGACCCTTTAAAGTGACTTCAGGTGACTATTATTCTGGTCCTGTAAGTAACTGCGTTCATCCAGCAGGTGGCAGTATATCCGCTCTGTTCATTAACAAACGTTCACATTACACCTAACATTTTAAAAAAAGTTTAATTTAGAGACAGGACAACAGACAGAAATCAGGTAGAGAGAGAGTGGAGAAAAACATGCTTGAAAGAAGCCACAGGTTGGACTTGAACCTGGGCCGTCCACCCGGAGGACCACATCCTCCATACATGGGCCGTGCACACTAAACACTTTGGATACCAGTTCTGCAATCTTTAGCTTTCCATGAGTTTTCTGGCACTCAATTCATCTCCTGCTCTGATTATTCTGGCCTGATTTCTGTTTGACCAATCACAGCTGTTTACCTAAAATGGGGCGGGGTTAAAGCAACTTTGAGGCATGTAATCATTAAACAAGAGGCGGGGACAGTGGAAGAAACATGTTTGAAGAAAACAGTGAAAATTAAAAAAATAACTTTTCTTTTCTCCCTCCAGAGGAATAAAACACAAATTACATCTTATATTTGTTGTTTTTTTAATCAGAGGAATCAAACAGCGACAGAAAGCTTCACGTTTACTGCCTCATCATGCGTCTAGAAGCCCAGTGACAGTTATCGACCACAAGCCGATATTCAGAGCCGCCGCTCTGCACGAAATCCCCGACAGTCTTCCTCCCCTGGAAATCCTCGACTTCAATAACCTGCAGAGACGTCAGCACACAGATCAGAGAGCCTCACACTGTTTGTTCTGTAACGATTCATCCAAACAGAGATTCACCTTCCAGTCAAAGGTCATCTGACTCGCCCGGTCACCACCGTCTGAGACGAGACGCCGTAATTGTCCCCTTTATGAATCAACCACTGAGACTTATCGTCCAGAGTCACTCTGAGGGACAGAATCAAAATATTCATATAAACAACAAACTGTAACAAACAAGTGGGCGAGGTGTCAGGTTAAGTCCTAAACCGCCATTTTATAATGACCAGCAGGGGGCGCTTGTATCGGTTGTGTGTGTGTGTGTGTGTGTGTGTGTGTGTGTGTGCGTCTGCGGCTGAGCTGGACCCCTCGGCTCGTTTCAGCCTCTCGGTGAGATTAACGGGCTGGTTGTAGAACGCTGAGACGTCTTTAAGGTTAAACCGACGTCAGAGAAAACATGTTGTTGTTATTTAAAATCTAAACGTGCAAAAACAGACAATCAGCCGCTACATTCGCCATCGCCTTTGAGAAGTGATCCCCGACAGCGTGATGCAGGGTTTCTCGTTGACCACTTCGTCGTCTTACGGAATGATCTTTGGTAGCATGTTTGCGCAGCTAACATTAGCTTGCTACTTCTTCAAAAGCTCTGGTGTTCAACAACGTAACATACGACTTCATGGGTTGTTCTAAAACCTGATTGGATGTTGTCAGATTCTTCAAACAAGGTGGATTCTGGGGGAAAAGGTGTCCGCTTGCTGGGAATGAATAAATGAATGAATAGCGTTAGCATTAGCTAAAGGCAGGGTTGGCAAATTTATAAAAAAATAGCATGATTTTGAAAGTAGCATTCCCTCAGTGCACCGTCTGCACACACTTCCCTCTGTGCGCCCTCAAAAGCCACGCCCCTCAAGAGTGCCGTTGCTCCAGAAGCTTTGGCGAGCAGGGAGACAGGGAGGCGTCTGATTGGTTCATCAGATTGGTACCTCGTGGCAGACATTGGTCAAAGTTTTTACAGACTTACAAACTGATACAGATGATGGATTCTCTTTGTTCCTTTTGGGGGGGACCACCTGGCACACTGCCAGAGCCTTTTTCTTTCTTCAGACATGGTTGGCTCTTTATCATGTGTTTCTCAGATGAGTTTGTAGCTCGACATGCGGCGTCTTTTATTTCCACACCGTCGACTGTAAACGTCTTAATCTGAAAGGACTTCAGTCCACATGTTGCAGAGCACTGATAAGTTTCCAGTCACATTAGTTCTCAGGTGTTATTACATTTCAGCGAGTTCTATAAACGATAGACTTTACACCGTTCAAAAGGAGGCCTCTGTCAGGTCGGATTCCAACCCACAACCGCAGCAACTAGGACTATCAGGAGGAGTATTTCAGGAGTTTTCTGCAGGTGTGAATGCAGCTTTATGGGATAGGTTAAAAAAAAAAGCTTTACCAAAGTTCACTGAGTTTTATATGAATTTAAACGTTACATAAAAAACATAAAAACACCAAACATAAAAAAAACTCTTCAAATCATAAAAACTAAAACAGTAGAAAAACAAAAAGAACTATTCAATCAGCTTCGTGTCCGTTTTCTTCTCTGACTCTGATTTTCATGTTTTCATCATCCTCGTAGAGATTGTGTTTGTGTTTTAAAATGTGTTCAGGAAGTCGCCTTCAGCAGGTCGTGGTGAACGAAGGCCTCCCGGCTCCCAAACAGGCTGGAGCTGCTGGCGCTGACGCCCCCGATGACGGGCATGTAGGAGTGATGGAGGATGGGCAGCTGGACGGAGAGGCGGCGCTGCATGCTGACAGAAAACACAAAATACAGAAATGTCAAACATAACATCTATTTTTAGGTTTGTTTGTCTTCTATCTGAAGTCAGAAAAGTCTTACTTTAAGCATATTTTAAGCCACATTTTGACTTTATGTTCGTATTTTGAAGTCTAAAGGTCCAGTCAGTGAGCTGTGTAGAGAGTGAGATGATAAAGGTATCTTACTCTCTGATCATTAAGGAAACATGTTGAAGTGCTGGCTTCTCTGACAACAATGCAGCAGCCAGTATGTCCTCCTTCTAACTTTAGATTCTGCTCCTGAATGCTCTGGATTTGTTTGGACCAGAGAAGGTAGGCGCTTTTAAGACACGCCCCCACACAGCCGTTTTGGACGCCCCTCGGTTTGTCAGATATGAGAGCAGTTATCAGGTCAACAGGTGTTGCAGTGATGGAAGCGGTCAAGAGAAGTGGTTCAGATAGAAGTGATTGTACCCGACCTAAAAAGCCTCTGCATGTTTCTAATAAGCTCCACGAGCAGAAACGTGCTCAAACTAGGATCAATATTGGAGATGCTTTTGAAAAATGGAGAGAGGTTAGAACACAGAAAGGTTTACAGACCCATGCAGAGCTGGATAAACACTGAAGCTTCAGAGTCCACCACATGGTGACCTGAGTGAGGGGGGGGGGGCAGCTCTCTATGATGTTTAGAATCTGTACACAAACAGAAGGCATTGCTGTGTGGACATTATCTGTTTGAATCCCGTGTGTTTGTGTGTTTGTGTGTTTGTGTGTTTGTGTTGGACTCACTGTTCAGGAGAGTTGATGTCGTCTGGACTCAGAGGTTTCCTGTCAGAGTTTGTGTCCTCAGAACAGATCAGAGCCGACACAACAGATCGGCCTTCACCTGCTGACACAGAACACGAGTCACAGGGAGAAGTCTGTCTGTGATGGAGGGAGGCCATCTTTAAGTTTACAACATGACGGGATCTGAACAGCTCTCACAGCCTCATTAAACCTTTCTGATGCTACATTTATAAACCTCAACAGAGCGTCAGAATAGAAAACACTGTTTAAAAATAAACATAAAAAGCTGCGACCTGATTGGTCACTGATTATAATCCAGTTTTTGTTTGTTTGTTTTTCTTCTGATGGAGCCGAGCTAGCAGTTTCCTCTTGCTTCCACTCTTTGTGCTAAGCTAGGCTAACCATGGATAATAAGATTTCATGTTTCTTTGTTTACCATTGTTTCTTCCGCTCGTCGTGTTGAGGAGCGTCAGGTCAGAATCAGCCGACTCTGACTCTTTACAGAGCTGCATACTGATGGTTTCTATTTCTAAATCCAGCTGTAAAAACAGAAGCAACATAATTTGAGTGAACCAGCCCTTTGAGGCATGTCATGTCACAGGTTGACGTTGTCCTCACCTGCTCAGTGTGACTCTTCAGCAGCAGGTTTAACCTCCTCAGCTGCTCGTCTTCCTCGTCTTCTGCAGCCCGCAGCTCCAGAGGCTGCTGCAGCTCACTGCCATGGAAACACACGTACACAAACTGCAACAACATGAAAACAAAAACCATCATCAACATGATGTGGACGTTGTTTTTTGTCACCGTGTATCAGTCTGCAGAGCTGCTGGTGTTGCGACGCGCTGACCTTAGGGCCGAACATGCAGCTCAGAGTGAAGATGTTGCAGCAGAGGACGAGGCTGCTGACCACACAGAACTGCACAGGAGGATTATGGGACGTCAGCAGAGACCCTGTCGCCCCGGACACGCTGAACACGGTCACAGCAAACATACTGAGAGTCAGCTGTTTGCTGCTGACCGCAGGGTGATCCACCTGCACGCACCTGATGCTCCACGCCACAAAACATCCCAGACCCTGAAATGAAACCATCGACTTTAAAGTCTTTAAATGTGATGTTTCACACTTAAATGTAGAAATCAAGTATCTCCTCTGAAAATAACTCTGTGAGTCATGACTGTCTACAATGGGTGTAACACCCGAGTCCCACTGTCTGTGATGTTTTCAGAGTCCTATCTTCAGTTTGTTTACATCGCCGGGACGGCCGGCTGACTCCTCCCCTCGTGTATAAAAGTTGTTTAATTGAGGGACTAGAGAAAAGAAGAATAACATACTGTACTCACTGCTTAACTGTGTTTCTAGATCACGCTCATTTCAGGTAAATTTACATGCAGTGTGAAGATACCAGCATAATAAAGATCACTAGCATTAGCATGCTAACACAACAATGCAGCGCGAGTTGTTTTGGTTTTATGCTGGAGCTCAAGGGCGACATCTGCTGGATAAAAAAAATGCGTATAAAGACTTTCATCACACATGTTCAATGTTTGAACCTCAACACTGATACAATTCAGGATGCTAAACATCAAGTAATGCTGCAAGAAGTTAATCTCTACATTTTAATATGTTTGGTGCAGATTGCGATCATCTCTGAATAAATTCTAAGGGCTCTAAAATGTTGAAGTGGAGTGGAGTCTGTGTGCAAACAGCAAAACCTGATTTTATGTTCTAAAACAAAGGTGTGGACATAGCCTCAGACTGCACATTTGACGACTAACAGCAGAGAAATAGCATGGATTTATAAGCTGTGATTAGTCTGTGTAGTTCCAGGTTCTGACCAGCAGGGGGCCTTTGTATCCGTAGACAGCAGTGAGCCACAGCTCCATCTTGATGCCGCTGCAGCATTCAGAGGAGAGGCGGAGGACGACGTCCTGACCAGACAAGTCGCTCTGAAAGACAAAGACAAAGAAGAGGTTCTTTAACATCTTGTTGTTGTGACTCTGCAAACAAATACAAACAGCATAGTCAACGGAGTAAGACAACACGAGGGTTCAGACAAAGGAAGATAAACTTATGACAAGAGGACTTTTTCATCTCTCCCAACCATCATTCGACGACCCGTCAGATTCATCTGGTGACTGTTTGGAGTGACCCAACCCCCTACAAAGAAGTAGGATCGCTCAGTCAAACCACAAGTGAGCGGCTGTGGGTCAATGGTAGAGTCTGTCATCTCTCAACCGGAAGGTCGGAGGATCGATCCCCAGCTCCTGCAGCCACATGTCCGATGTGTCCTTCGGCAAGACACTTAATCCCAAATTGCTCCCCCTGCTTCATCAGCGATGTGTAAATGTGTTAATACTGATGGACTCTTTACTCAGCAGCCTCTACCATCAGCGTGTGAATGTGTATGAGTGGATGAGTTAACACTGACGGACTCTTTACACAGCGGCCTCTACCATCAGCGTGTGAATGTGTATGAGTGGATGAGTTAACACTGACGGACTCTTTACACAGCGGCCTCTACCATCAGCGTGTGAATGTGTATGAGTGGATGAGTTAACACTGACGGACTCTTTACACAGCGGCCTCTACCATCAGCGTGTAAATGTGTATGAGTGGATGAGTTAACACTGACGGACTCTTTACACAGCGGCCTCTACCATCAGCGTGTAAATGTGTATGAGTGGATGAGTTAACACTGACGGACTCTTTACTCAGCGGCCTCTACTATCAGTGTGTGAATGTGTAGTGTATGAATGGAGCGAGAGGAATGTGCTCCCTCTTCTCAGCCTCGAACATCAACATCTCTCAGAAATCTACATTTTTGAATTGGAGACGGTACGCCTCATAACAACCACACTGGAGGTCCACGTGTTGTTCTGAATATCACCCATAAGAGGGGAAAGAGGGGAAGGTTAGCAAGGTCTTGTCAACCGGTAGCTTTTCTAAGTTGGCTGCCCGGCTACCGGCACCGTTGCCCGGCTTGAGTACAGGACTTCAGTCAGCCAGGATTTTGAACTTGTCAGGCCCGGGGCAGAGGGCTCTCCGTGGGTGAAGTGTCAGTGTTTGATGACAGGGAGAATGTTAAACTGTAGCAAAGAGATGAGTAGCAAGTTCAACACAGACTCCGGGGGGTGGCGAAATCACAAAGTGTCAGGCTGAGAAAGCGGGTGCAGAGGGATAAGATGGAGCTGGAGCTCATAGCCCCAGAGCTAGCACTTGCTCCAGGCATCACGGGGCTGCAGCCACGGACCCAGAGTCTGGGATGGGTCTGGACCTCAACTTCCCTATCGAAACATAACTTTCTGATCCTAGCTGTCTCTCTTACTCTCTCTCGTAAATAAACCACAGCGGCCCTACAGGCCTGGAGCACTTCCGTTTCAGGCTGAACTTGCAGCGTTTGTGTGTTTGCTGTTGTTTTATGGTTGTGTGTGTTTTGACTTTCATGACTTTCGAGTTTCATTTCTGTACTTGCAGCGTGTTTGATGCTTATGCAGCGCGTTTGTGTCTTTGCAGCGTGTCTGTGGTAGTTTGCATTTGCTTTTCAATATGAAACATTTCTATATATTCTCTGCGTTTTTCTAAATCTATGTTATGTCATCAGTTGCTGATTGTTTGACCCCTACCGGCCACCATTTATACCAGCAGCAGCTCCAACACATGACTGGAGCCAGGCAGAGGACGCCAAGGTTAGCCAGGAGGCTACAGCTAACTGTTTAAAGAAAACAACCTATAAAGCTGTTTCTTCTTCTTCTGGTGAGCAGATAAAACAAACCATGTTTAAACAGGAGGCTGGTCTGTGGAGTCCTCCCCTCAGAGGTTTGTTTAGGCCCAGCAAAGACCACCCCAACCCATAATCCTGCTGCAAACACACCTGTAGAGGAGAGTATAAAGAGTGTGGACTGAGCTGAGTCCAGCATCAAGCTTCAAGGAGTCTCTCCACAGCAACTCTCCACAGAAGCTCCACAGCCACCCTGAACATGATTCCGTCTGCCAGCCTGCTGCTGCTGCTCCTGCTCGGCCTCTCTCAGGCTCTTCCTCTTCAGGAGGAAGGAAGCGCAGAAGAAGAAGAAGAAGTCCCAGACGGCGTGGACATCACCACCAGGATTTTGACCTCCAACAACGGCACAGACGAGATCCTGCTGGAAGGAGACCTGCTGGCTCCCAAAACCAGAAACGCCATGATGTGCTGGTCCCAGAGCTGCCTGTGGAAGAAAACCTCCAACGGCCTGGTGATGATCCCCTTCACCGTGAACAGCCAGTTCACCAGCGGGGAGAGGCAGAAGATCGACTACGCCATGAAGGGGTTCCACCGCAAAACCTGCCTCCGCTTCGTCCCCCGTAAGAACGAGTACGACTACATCAGCATCGAGAACAAAGCGGGATGTTTCTCCAATCTGGGCAGAACGGGAGGCAGACAGGTGCTGTCTCTCAACAGGCAGGGCTGCCTCTACCACGGTATCATCCAGCACGAGATCAACCACGCTCTGGGCTTCCAGCACGAGCAGTCCAGGAGCGACCGCGACAACTACGTCCGGATAAACTGGGAGAACATCGACCCACAGATGGCCGGCAACTTCCACAGGGAGTCCACCAACAACCTGAACACTCCCTACGACTACTCCTCCATCATGCACTATGGAAGAACAGCCTTCTCCATCCAGTACGGCAAGGACTCCATCACCCCATCCCCGACCCAACGTCCAGATCGGCCAGAGGAAGGGCATGTCCTACTGGGACATCATGAGGATCAACCTGCTGTACAGCTGCAAATAACAACACTGAAGCTAAACGCAGAAAATGATAAAGAATCTGATTTTTCACTGTTTACTTTTTAATGTTCAGAAAACTGAATATGTAACCTGCATGCCAAAATGATCAGCAATAAAAAATCTATGCAAAATAAACACTGTGAAGTCATTTCTGTCTTTGTGCTGCTTGAAAACTTCAGACAAAAGATAAAAAAGTAATGTTTGCAAAGAGGAAATTACAGCTTTAGAATCAGACATATTGTGGCTTCAGATACCGACAAAACAACATCATTCAGTAATACCTTTGTTGTACTTCTGGACGGCAGACAGTCTGAGTGGGAAAACAAATGACGACCAGATTGCAGCTTTGTCCTGTGAAACCAAAATTGACTTAAACAGAAAAAACTGTCTCTCCTCACAGCCTTCTCAAAACGACCCATCATCCAGTCTGCTGCTCTCGCAGACATTAAACACCATGTTACCTGTCCTCTATGGCCAATCAGAGAGGAGCTCCAATCGGTGCCAGATTGACTCCAGGTGTAATCACGCTCACCTCCGCTGGAGTGAACGAGACTCAAGCAGATGATTCAACAGAGGGAAAAAATACCAAACTTCCTTCTTAAGTCCAAACATATCAAAGACATATACACTCATCGACCACTTTATCAGGTACACCTTGCAAGGACCGGGTTGGACCCCGTTTTGTCTTCAGGACTGCCTTAATTCTTTGTGGCATAGATTCAACAAGGTGCTGGAAACATTTCTTCTGGATACAGATTTTGGTCCATATTAACATGATAGCATCACACAGTTGCTGCAGATTTGTCGGCTGCACATCCATGAGACGAATCTCCCGTTCCACCACATCCCAAAGGTTGGATTGAGATCTGGTGACTGTGGACGCCGTTTGAGTACAGTGAACTCATCGTCATGTTCAAGAAACCAGTTTGAGATGATGTGAACTTTGTGACATGGTGTGTTATCCTGCTGGAAGTAGCCATCAGAAGACGGGTACACTGTGGTCATAAAGGGTTGGACATGGTCAGCAACAGCGCTCAGGTAGTCTGTGGCGTTTAAACGATGCTCAATCAGTACACAGGGACCTCAGTTTGTAACGAGGGGTTATTTGAGTTACTGTTGTCTTTCTATCAGCTGAAACCAGTCTGACCATTCTCCTCTGACCTCTGGCATCAACAAGAGAACGGCCGCTCACTGGATATTTTTTCGTTTTCTCTGTAAACCCTTGAGATGGTTGTGCATGAAAATCTGAGTAGATTATCAGTTGCTAAAATACTCAAACCAGCCCGTCTGGCACCAACAAGCACGCCACATTCAAAGTCACTTAAATCAACTTTTTTCCAATTCTGATGCTCAGTTTGAACTTCAGAAGATCGTCTTGACCGTGTCTACATGGCTTAATGCATTGAGTTGCTGCCACGTGATTGGCCGATTAGATATTTGCATTAATGAGCAGTTGAACAGCTGAACCTAATAAAGTGTCCGGTGAGAGTATATCGTAAACATTCAGTTTTCTTTAACACTGACTCCTGAGCGAGAGGAATGTGCTCCCTCTTCTCAGCCTCGAACATCAACATCTCTCAGAAATCTACATTTTTGAATTGGAGACGGTACGCCTCATAACAACCACACTGGAGGTCCACGTGTTGTTCTGAATATCGCCCATAAGGGGGGAAAGAGGGGAAGGTTAGCAAGGTCTTGTCAACCGGTAGCTTTTCTAAGTTGGCTGCCCGGCTACCGGCACCGTTGCCCGGCTTGAGTACAGGACTTCAGTCAGCCAGGATTTTGAACTTGTCAGGCCCGGGCAGAGGGCTCTCCGTGGGTGAAGTGTCAGTGTTTGATGACAGGGAGAATGTTAAACTGTAGCAAAGAGATGAGTAGCAAGTTCAACACAGACTCCGGGGGGTGGCGAAATCACAAAGTGTCAGGCTGAGAAAGCGGGTGCAGAGGGATAAGATGGAGCTGGAGCTCATAGCCCCAGAGCTAGCACTTGCTCCAGGCATCACGGGGCTGCAGCCACGGACCCAGAGTCTGGGATGGGTCTGGACCTCAACTTCCCTATCGAAACATAACTTTCTGATCCTAGCTGTCTCTCTTACTCTCTCTCGTAAATAAACCACAGCGGCCCTACAGGCCTGGAGCACTTCCGTTTCAGGCTGAACTTGCAGCGTTTGTGTGTTTGCTGTTGTTTTATGGTTGTGTGTGTTTTGACTTTCATGACTTTCGAGTTTCATTTCTGTACTTGCAGCGCGTTTGATGCTTATGCAGCGCGTTTGTGTCTTTGCAGCGTGTCTGTGGTAGTTTGCATTTGCTTTTCAATATGAAACGTTTCTATATATTCTCCGCGTTTTTCTAAATCTATGTTATGTCATCAGTTGCTGATTGTTTGACCCCTACCGGCACCATTTATACCAGCAGCAGCTCCAACACATGACTGGAGCCAGGCAGAGGATGCCAAGGTTAGCCAGGAGGCTACAGCTAACTGTTTAAAGAAAACAACCTATAAAGCTGTTTCTTCTTCTTCTGGTGAGCAGATAAAACAAACCATGTTTAAACAGGAGGCTGGTCTGTGGAGTCCTCCCCTCAGAGGTTTGTTTAGGCCCAGCAAAGACCACCCCAACCCATAATCCTGCTGCAGACACACCTGTAGAGGAGAGTATAAAGAGTGTGGACTGAGCTGAGTCCAGCATCAAGCTTCAAGGAGTCTCTCCACAGCAACTCTCCACAGAAGCTCCACAGCCACCCTGAACATGATTCCGTCTGCCAGCCTGCTGCTGCTGCTCCTGCTCGGCCTCTCTCAGGCTCTTCCTCTTCAGGAGGAAGGAAGCGCAGAAGAAGAAGAAGAAGTCCCAGACGGCGTGGACATCACCACCAGGATTTTGACCTCCAACAACGGCACAGACGAGATCCTGCTGGAAGGAGACCTGCTGGCTCCCAAAACCAGAAACGCCATGATGTGCTGGTCCCAGAGCTGCCTGTGGAAGAAAACCTCCAACGGCCTGGTGATGATCCCCTTCACCGTGAACAGCCAGTTCACCAGCGGGGAGAGTAAGAAGATCGCGCGCCATGAAGGGGTTCCACCGCAAAACCTGCCTCCGCTTCGTCCCCCGTAAGAACGAGTACGACTACATCAGCATCGAGAACAAAGCGGGATGTTTCTCCAATCTGGGCAGAACGGGAGGCAGACAGGTGCTGTCTCTCAACAGGCAGGGCTGCCTCTACCACGGCATCATCCAGCACGAGATCAACCACGCTCTGGGCTTCCAGCACGAGCAGTCCAGGAGCGACCGCGACAACTACGTCCGGATAAACTGGGAGAACATCGACCCACAGATGGCCGGCAACTTCCACAGGGAGTCCACCAACAACCTGAACACTCCCTACGACTACTCCTCCATCATGCACTATGGAAGAACAGCCTTCTCCATCCAGTACGGCAAGGACTCCATCACCCCCATCCCCGACCCCAACGTCCAGATCGGCCAGAGGAAGGGCATGTCCTACTGGGACATCATGAGGATCAACCTGCTGTACAGCTGCAAATAACAACACTGAAGCTAAACGCAGAAAATGATAAAGAATCTGATTTTTCACTGTTTACTTTTTAATGTTCAGAAAACTGAATATGTAACCTGCATGCCAAAATGATCAGCAATAAAAAATCTATGCAAAATAAACACTGTGAAGTCATTTCTGTCTTTGTGCTGCTTGAAAACTTCAGACAAAAGATAAAAAAGTAATGTTTGCAAAGAGGAAATTACAGCTTTAGAATCAGACATATTGTGGCTTCAGATACCGACAAAACAACATCATTCAGTAATACCTTTGTTGTACTTCTGGACGGCAGACAGTCTGAGTGGGAAAACAAATGACGACCAGATTGCAGCTTTGTCCTGTGAAACCAAAATTGACTTAAACAGAAAAAACTGTCTCTCCTCACAGCCTTCTCAAAACGACCCATCATCCAGTCTGCTGCTCTCGCAGACATTAAACACCATGTTACCTGTCCTCTATGGCCAATCAGAGAGGAGCTCCAATCGGTGCCAGATTGACTCCAGGTGTAATCACTCTCACCTCCGCTGGAGTGAACGAGACTCAAGCAGATGATTCAACAGAGGGAAAAAATACCAAACTTCCTTCTTAAGTCCAAACATATCAAAGACATATACACTCATCGACCACTTTATCAGGTACACCTCGCAAGGACCGGGTTGGACCCCGTTTTGTCTTCAGGACTGCCTTAATTCTTTGTGGCATAGATTCAACAAGGTGCTGGAAACATTTCTTCTGGATACAGATTTTGGTCCATATTAACATGATAGCATCACACAGTTGCTGCAGATTTGTCGGCTGCACATCCATGAGACGAATCTCCCGTTCCACCACATCCCAAAGGTTGGATTGAGATCTGGTGACTGTGGACGCCGTTTGAGTACAGTGAACTCATCGTCATGTTCAAGAAACCAGTTTGAGATGATGTGAACTTTGTGACATGGTGTGTTATCCTGCTGGAAGTAGCCATCAGAAGACGGGTACACTGTGGTCATAAAGGGTGGACATGGTCAGCAACAGCGCTCAGGTAGTCTGTGGCGTTTAAACGATGCTCAATCAGTACACAGGACCTCAGTTTGTAACGAGGGGTTATTTGAGTTACTGTTGTCTTTCTATCAGCTGAAACCAGTCTGACCATTCTCTCCTCTGACCTCTGGCATCAACAAGAGAACGGCCGCTCACTGGATATTTTTTCGTTTTCTCTGTAAACCCTTGAGATGGTTGTGCATGAAAATCTGAGTAGATTATCAGTTGCTAAAATACTCAAACCAGCCCGTCTGGCACCAACAAGCACGCCACATTCAAAGTCACTTAAATCAACTTTTTTCCAATTCTGATGCTCAGTTTGAACTTCAGAAGATCGTCTTGACCGTGTCTACATGGCTTAATGCATTGAGTTGCTGCCACGTGATTGGCCGATTAGATATTTGCATTAATGAGCAGTTGAACAGCTGAACCTAATAAAGTGTCCGGTGAGAGTATATCGTAAACATTCAGTTTTCTTTAACACTGACTCCTGAGCGAGAGGAATGTGCTCCCTCTTCTCAGCCTCGAACATCAACATCTCTCAGAAATCTACATTTTTGAATTGGAGACGGTACGCCTCATAACAACCACACTGGAGGTCCACGTGTTGTTCTGAATATCGCCCATAAGGGGAAAGAGGGGAAGGTTAGCAAGGTCTTGTCAACCGGTAGCTTTTCTAAGTTGGCTGCCCGGCTACCGGCACCGTTGCCCGGCTTGAGTACAGGACTTCAGTCAGCCAGGATTTTGAACTTGTCAGGCCCGGGGCAGAGGGCTCTCCGTGGGTGAAGTGTCAGTGTTTGATGACAGGGAGAATGTTAAACTGTAGCAAA